ATATATATATATATATATAACAAGCTATAAGTATTGTTTTAATATTTTATTATTCTATCTCTATCTCAATATGGCTTTTCTTTGTATTATCTATTTCATAAACATATTTTCATTACTATTATTAACATTATAATGTATATACATGTAATGTATACAGATATAAAATATATTTCTGCTAAATGCGTAAAAAATTAATTATAAAAAATTATATAGAATTATTAGTATATTGCTATAGATTGTATTTCCTATAGTCCTATACAGTTGCATGCCTATGTAGCATATTGTCTTACTATAAGCCATATTATGAATCAATTGAATACTCCTAAAATGACAGTTCTCTTCCTACTCTTTCATTCACATTTATCATATGATATCTGAGCATATTCGAACGAGAGAAAGCAAATGTAAAACAGAGCACGCAATGATGTCCTCTTCTCTTTGAGCAATTACAGTAACAGTAGAAAAATCTTTAATTTGTTGTACGACTACACTTCCTATATTTTTTATTTCTTTTTCTGAATTTGCAATTATGTATTCTGAGTGCAGAAAAGATAATATACAGCTATAGAGAGAAAATATAACTTTTAGAATGCATATTAAACTCTTAAAAGGCTTATTAAACTCAGATCACTAATCATAATTATTTCACATAATATAAACATTGTACTACATTATTATATATTAGCAAAGAAATCAAAGAAAACTATTAATTGTTGAAATTGAGACTTAATAAGTTATTTGTATGTATTTAGTAAGTATTTTACATCTTTTATCACAATAGAATTTTCATTATTATAAGATTCTAAGAAAGATAAGATAAAATATTACATAATACAAAGAAGAAATAAAATGATATTTTTATAAGTTTTAAATAATATACTTTTAATTTTACAGCTATATTATCATTTAAATTCATTTATCGTTCTACATTAAATAATACTTTTTACAAATGTTTTCAAAAATTTCAATAGTATCAAGAGCAAAAAATTGATTATAAATAACAATTAATATGTCGAAAGAATATTTTTTATCTTTCAGACATGTCCCTCCTATATTTTTAATGTGTAATTTAATCTTATGAATAAATTAAGTGTGTAAATCTGTTCTTTCTAGAAGAACCATATAATTTTCTCTCTCTTTCTTTTTAATATCTAAATTATATACTTATTTCCAATACAAAAGTAACCAAATGCAAGTAACCAAAAATTCACTATTTGTGATTCAAGTCACACAAACATCATTCTATCTTTCTTAATACTCAAAGAGTAAAAAAATAAAAAGATACTTGTGTCACCAAATAGAAAGCACCCTTCTTTATTAGTGAATTCAGTCATACTACACTGGATCAGTATACATTAAAGACTGCTTTATAGAAAGTACTTAAATGCAGTGCCACAATATAATCGACTTTGACAATAAAATAATATATGTATACTCTGTTATGTAATGTGACAATGTTATTATTAAATATTTAATCGTTTAAAATATTTGTATGCTTTTATATTTAACTTAGTTAATTTCATATATACATAGTAACTTTTAGTATGCACTAATCTAGTATAATGCAAAGTGTGCTTCTTTCTTGGCATTTAATAAATAATTAACAAGACAGAATGATACTTATGTCACCAAGTGGAAAACACCAGGGGGAAAGAGGAGCATACCTTCTCCCTGACGTCGTCGGTCATGCAAACATTCGCGAGTATGCTCAGACTCCTGTCGACGATCCTCTGATTCCCACAGCGTAGGAAGCGAATGAGAATGTCGAGGCAATTGTTCCGTTTAATAAACTCCTTACAGCGTTTCGGGTCGTTTTTCACCTGGTCGAGACAAGTGATGATTCCGCGATGGTTACTCTCGCGGAAGTACCTCACTAGCGTTGACTCGTCCGGCAGAGTCTTCGGCAGTGACATTGCGGAATCCTGGTGGCGCGACGCCGACGAGAATCGGGCGGACGTATGCGAGCCGCGTGACATTTCTCAAAATCGCATCGTTCTATGCACGCGAAAGGAGAGGGCATAACGCGCACATTCCTGTCGTCGTTCTGCGACGTGTGCCGTAGGCATCGATCACGTAATTCCAAGAGGAATTCCTTGCCTTCCGCCGCCCTTCGTTCATTCCGAATCCTCTTCTACGATTCGTGAAGCGATCACGTGTCAGTTTGAGGAGTTACATGATCACACGAAACCATCGAGAAAACGTAACGTTTCTCTCTTTACTTTTCACGTTCGCGTTCTCGTGTCAGTTTGAGGAGTTACATGATCACACGAAACCATCGAGAAAACGTAACGTTTCTCTCTTCACGTTCGCGTTTATCAAGAAAAATTACATTTCACTGCTTTGTTAGGGACAATCGCGAAATGGAATCAGAAACAGGAGGCTTCTCCCTCTTTCGTTTGGATGGCTCTCGTTTTCAATTCACCGGAAATTTGACGTGTCAAACGTAATTTACGAATGCACGGATTAAACTCGGTGGAAATTTAAAAAAAAAATAGAAGATGCAACACTCAAACCGAAGCAAGAACACGTCCACTTTGGTTGAGGCATCCAATAAAATTCCATTCAAGTATTCAACGCCATTGTGCCATTGTGTTGGTATTCCGTAAAGGTTTCGTGCGATGTGCGCTACTGCGCATCAGTGCGCAATGCGCATGCGTGGGTATGTCACATGACTGACACGATTCATTTTCTAATGCGTAGACTATCTACGTAGAATATTGCAAAGTATTAGTAAGACTAGGTAGTATTTCAATCTTCGATGAAATCATTTCAGTTCATTCTCTCAATTTTTTACTCTTTTATAGGCTTACTCTTTTTATTCTTTTGTTTAGTCATTAAATAAATTATTATATAGTTTATCTGAAGATATAGAACACAACTGGCCAGTTAATAATTAAGTTCGCGTCCGATTCCAAAAAAAATTTTAAGTAAATTCAGGATGCAATATTTCTTTTCACTCAAATTGGCACTTATATATATCTATTATTTTTAATAAAACAAAGATTTAGCTGCAAAAAGCTTTTTTTGAATTGTGATAATTTTTAATTGAAAGCAATTAAAGTCAAATGTTTTTCTATTTAATCCGCAATAACTCAGTTATAATAAAAAAATTTTAGGAACATTTAAAAAAATGATTTTATAAGGAAAACTTTAAGCTTTCGCTTTAGAAAGTTGAACATTTTCGTTAAATTTTCTTAGGCACAGATCTACAAAGTAATAGAAGAAAATTTCCCATTTTGTTTAGTTCGTAGTTTTTTATATGTAAAAATTATCAAATTTGCGAAAACCAAAAAAGTGACTTTTCGAAAGTATGAGATTTTGAGCTGTAACATTTTTTTTTAATTAAAATTTTGTTTATTATTTTAACAAAATTGTAGCTACTTGAATTTTGAATTTTTAATATAACAAAAGAAGTCTGTTTTTTATATAGCTGTACTAGACTGCACTAGAACTCTCTTTTTTACTTTCATCATAAATATCAAATATATCTTATCTCACCCTATAAGTTCCAAAAGTACATGTACTAGTTTAGTTACAAAAAACAGATCTACGATAAAACGAGAAAAAATTTTACACCCACGAAAGTTGTATAATGGCTTCAAAAGAATTATTACACATAGCGCATAATTTTTTGTAAATAACTTTTTTATAAGAAGCTTTTCTCAAAAATTGTGAGATTACCTTCATTTTTGATAATGGAAAAATGCCATATACAAAGCAAAAAGCGCTTATGTAGGTGCATGACTCTAGCAGGTTTTTAACGTTTTAAAAACGTCTTCAATATTTATTTTAAAAAGTATATTATAAGTTTGTATATACGCTTTTTAAAAATAAATATTGAAGGCTTTTAAAACACACTAAACTTTGTTACAGCCATGCACCTGCATAAGCGCTTTCCGCTTTGCAGACGCCGCTGCACTGGGTCGGTCGTGCAGGCGTTGCACGATAGTCGGTATGACCATCCAGTGCAAGGTAAATGCAGTTTCATAGCATTTTTGCGACACTTCGCTTTTTGAATAAAGAACTGTGAGAATGGCACTGAATAAATATGAATTGATAGTTTAATTGTCAAATGGGCAAATTATCATCGTGATCATGATGGAAAATTAGATATAAGTTGTATTGCGCATGATATATACCTTATCTAATTCCATCATGATCATGATTATCAATATAAATAGCCTGAATAAGATAACTGAACAATATCAATATTATTGACTATTGTTACATGAATTTGTCAATTACGCGATAAAAATGTTTAAATGAGATTAATTTTTAACGTATTAAAAGCATGATTTATTATTGAACATAATATGTTTTGTACATAAGAAATGCATATATTTACAATATAATGATATATGTATATTGTTACAAAACTGCATTGTATTCTTTGTCTTCGGTTATTTGGAAATCAAATTCAGTAACAACGGGTAAATAAAAAAAAAAACAATAAAATCACAGTTTTAATTATAAATAAACGGATATATTATCGGTTTGTAAATCAATAAATATATTTTATACAATTACGAAATATTATTATAGGAAACATCGTGCTATTTATTCGTCATATAATAATCGATTATAAAATTAATATCCTATACACTGCTATACAGCATAAATAATCCCAGCGATATTGCAGCAATATTGCAACGTTCCATTTTCCAATAATATTGTAGTAACATATATATTGCAAACATTGCAGCAATGTTGCTGCAAGTTTCTGTATAGGATATATTACGTGGTAAAATAATCGTCTAAATTTTAAGTCTTGCGAATTTTCATAAGACTGTCAGTCACTTCAAAGTACTTTTAACAGCACCGATTGATTTAGATTGATTGCGGAACCTGATCAATGAAGAAAATACGAATTTGCAATGTCTTTGTGAACGCGTGTGGTAGGCGTGGTCATTGAACCACACCACTCGGCATAGACCAATCGCATGATGTTACGTCATATGTGGCCTCCACGTTATTGCGTGGGTATTATCGCTGTTGCAGCTGGTCTTGTAATAGTTGTGTGATGTGTGTATACGTCTTTCCTTCTCTCCTTATTCCTACCCTCTCTATTCTTCGTCAGCGCGCTTGGTATACTTAACTTAATCGGGAACGAACAGCTGTTGCTCACACGATGACAGTATACGATCGACCGTCGTAGCACGTGTATCGTTTTGCACATCTTGGAAGATACGTCGACAAATAGTACGCACGAGCTCTGGAATAAAAAGAAAAAAACGAATATATTTCTGCGCTTTTCTCCTCCGTACGCGTCAAACACACACACACTGCACACGGGAGTGACGGAATCTCGTGATCTGCCGCGATTTTTCGCGGTTAAGGCAAAACGTTTGTAAACTGCGTAACCGTTCATCGTGAAGGACTTGAAAACAATTCTCGAGCAAGCAAAGCAGGAAGGAAGGAATAACTTAGAAAACGATCCGGAAGGTGTCACCGTCGCATTGTTAGGTCAAAAATAGGTCAACATGAATCTGTCATTCGCTGGCTGCGGCTTCCTCGGCATCTACCACGTCGGCGTGGCGGTCTGCTTCAAAAAGTACGCGCCACACTTATTGCTGAACAAGATAAGCGGCGCGTCCGCGGGCGCTATCGCAGCGTGTTGCTTGCTCTGCGATCTACCCCTGGGTGAGTGAACTCTCATCTCTCTCTTCTCTTTTTGTTTAATTATGCTCTGTTAAATTCAGATTATGAATTTTACCTAACTTGAGTTATTTTTTTATCATTTCCATATATAGGTGCTCCTACTCAATATGACGTTAATTTGATTTAATGGAGTTAAATAATTTAACTGTAGAAAATGGAGTTAAATTTATTTAATTCAAGAAAATGTATTAGATTTGATTAAAATTTCATTTTTTACTCATTAAGTGCGCATACGTCAATATGGATATTGTTTACTTTGAAATTATAACCGCAGAAAAGATTGATTTACATTTTGACGCACGTGCAAGTTAAATAACAAAGTGTTATTTAACTCAATTAGTTACCTCTCATTGCTCCTTTGATAACTATCTGTGTGTAAAATAACTTACATCCGACGGTTTCGGAGGAGTAATGAATGTGAATGAATAGAGCGCGTGCAAAATTAATTGGATCGATCGCACGTGTCTAACATCCATTTACTCTTCTGACACATCATGATATCTATCTTTGTGAAATCTTCTTGCTTATTCCTGATAACAGAACCAGCTTTATTTGCAATGAAAAATATTAAATTTTAAGAAATGTAAATTATTTTTAAAGATTAAATAATATTAATAATTTTTAAATATTGTTTTAATTCTTTTGATTTTTATTATTAAACTTTCTTTTTTTTTGTTTTTCTTTACTTTTTTGTCAATTGTCATTCTGAATATCATTTTTTTTCTCTAATTTCCTCTTTATTTAAGTTATAATAATAATAATTTAATATTTTAAAAATATCATTTTTGTGAGTGGTCTTCTTTTCGATATAAGGTTAATTTTAATCCGGGTTCAATTTTTCTTTTTTTGTGAGAGTATCTACTTATTCTTTCTTCTATTTAGTTGAACATTTCATTTTATTTTTTATGGCAATTTTCACAAATTGTTTTAGAATAATTTAAAGTCATGAATATAAAAGATTCAAAAGTGTACGCGCCGAGAAAAATGTTTAATGGATGAATCAAAAGATTGTATCAGAGTTTCACCTATCTCTATTAAAATTCTAGTAAAGTTGACAGAAAATTTTGATTCGTCCATTTTCAACCAGAATTTGAATTAATTTAATCAGACATTTTTCTTAAATGTAGTTCTCTAATTATCTGACGAGATATTTTGAATTACTTCATTTCGATAATTTTTCTCAAAATTATCATTGATGACGCTTGTGTTACATAATCGTAATATCTAAAGTCGTAAACTCATTTGATAAATTATTATCAAACACTGAGAAAAAAGTTTTAAAAATGTGGACGAACTATAAAAATCTGATCACATCATCATCAAACTTCCGGTTATCACAATTTGAATTCTAGATTTAATCAGAAAATTCTGATTCGTCTATTTTTATTCAGAATTCTAATTAATCCAACCAGACATTTTTCCTCATTTATCTAAAAATTGATTACTAAAAAGCTTCGTAATTATCTGAATACAACGCTCACCAGCTCGCCGTAATTAAATGAAGCTTGGCTTATTGTTGCACATGAGGGGTTCGGCGAAATCGCGATGGATGGATTTATTATTATTCCGCCTATAATTCATGTGTTACCGCGATAACGAGAACAACTAATTAGCGCGCGACGGTAAATTTGTAACCGCTGCCCTTTCCCGTATCTGTCACGCTCGTCGAGATTGCTCGCACGCGTTACATGTTACAAATTTTATTAAATATGTGTGGGAGATTATCGTGGAACATTATTAAGATTGCTCACGTGTTTATCAGGTGCGATATTCGCGTGATCGCTAAACGTGATTGTTAAACTCTTCGAAAATCAATAATGTAAGAAAAAGCATAAAATATGTAAAGAAAATCAACTGTATAAAAAGATGATAAAAAATATACATTGGAATTCTTTTGTACAAATAATCATAATTTTATGTTGATATGAGAATTACAAAAACTTATTTTTTAATTTTAAAATTGTGTTCTAATCAAAATTTAGTTATATATATATATATATATAGTTATATATATATATATATATATATATATATTCTAATCAATTTTTTAATTTGATTATTCTAACCAAATGTTGATTGGAATATCACAATTTTTTAATTAAGAAAATAAAAAAGTTTTTGTAATTCATATATTAACAAAATTATGATTATTTATAAAAAATATTTCTCTCTCTCTCTCTCTCTCTCTCTCTCTCTCTCTCTCTCTCTCTCTCTCTCGGTATTACATTTCTCTAGAAAATAAACAATATTGTAGCATTTCGAGGAATGCATTTTATATTGTAAGTTTTAATTTATGAAAAAATGCTTTTTCAACACACAAGAAACTATTTTGCTGAAATATCTAAAAATTTAACTAAAGATCTGAAAATAATTATGTAGAATTGTTAAAATAACTATATAAGTCGCTTAAGCTGATTGTTAAAACAATTAAATGTTAAAATGTCAATTGTAGTATTATTCGTACCTGAATTTCTACATAATTATTTTGATTTAACAAAATTATTTTTAAATGTGTATCTACCTAAATTTTTAGATGTTTCAGCAAAATCGTTTTTTTTTTACGTATTTAACTTACTCATGTAACTAAAGAGAAAAGCTTATTTAAATAATTGTTGTTTAAATATTATAAATAGCCTTTAAAAGATTATGTAAAAAGCTTTTTATTATTTTAAATCCAATTTTTTTAAATAGCTATTTTAATAGATATTTCTAAATCTTAAACATATTTTAATAAAAATAAAAAATTAAGGTAAGCTATTGTAAAATAAATCTAATAAAATAAAATAAAAAAAAGATACGACAATTATATTTAAAAATTTGTGTCATAGATCTGGGTATCGATCATGAAACTTTTTTCCTAAGATGAAAAGTGAAAAGTGAAAAATTTCTCCATTAACTTCAGTGGTAAAAATTTTTACAACAAGCTTGCTTCTATTTTATTTCGTCGTAATAATACTTACATGGCGCGAGTCATTTATATATATACATATATATTATCGATAAACGTGTGCAGTGTAAACACGGTAATAGAGTGACAATATTATTCTGCGATAGTCTTCGGAGAAGACACCTTTAGAAACTCTGACCAGTGCGTGACTTATCTCTCTGATACGCTTTTACAAATCCTGAAATAGTTCGCAAAATATTGCGTAAACGTGTCATCACTCTTAATATGCTTAGTTTCGCGTAAATAGGTCAAATGCCTAGCAGAGCCGCATTGACGGGTGCGTGGGGGGTTTGCGGGGTGCTGCTAACGCGTAGTTTTATCATACTAGTGTTTTGTTTCCCTGCAAAGTTAAATGTGTTGTTTTTCATTATCACGAGAAACGGAATAAATATACATAAACAGTATGTCTATATGTTCTCATATCTGTTACGCCTATTTCGCACTATTATGTATTCTTAATGACACATTATTACGCTGAAATCTGTGCGGCGCTTAAACGAGCGTATCCAATTTTGTCGTGGATTTTTGGTATTTCTACACCGAAAAAAATATTTGGTTGAAAATGGATAAACTTTTGATTATATATCAATAAGAATTCCGGAAAATGTTCTGGTTAAATCTACTAAAATTCTAGTTGAAATATAAATGGAATTCTGATCGATTTTAATCTTCTGGTCTATTTATTTTCAACCAAACATTTTTCTTATTGTTAGTGTAAATTAAAATCTAAAAGGAACGAAATTAAACTTTTTATTTATTATCTACGATAGAGATACATATACATATGAGATAAAAAATAAATAAATCCGTTTCATTTAAAACCTTATTTTATATTCTTACTTATCGTTTATTCTTCATCTATGTATTTTTCAATCATTTTCTTATTTGCACGGATGACGAAAATTTGTTAATGAAGATTCCGCATTTGAAAATTGGAGTATGCACAAAAGCTGAGATGTTGAATAATGTTTTGTTTAAGTCGCACAAAGTGTTACATCTATATGTATAACGTTTTATATACATGTATACAACGCGCAGCGATTTATTATAAATTATTTTCTCGACGCGGATGCGAGTAACGGCGAGGTCAAGCGTCGTTGCACTCAGCGTCTTGCGCAAGTCCTAATTACAAAGACAAATTACATATATATGGCGAACGTAATCTGAGCTCAATTAAACGAGGCGCTGTTTGGCGGGATGACGTATGATTCATTAATAAAATTCAACTTGGCAGATTTTGGTATGAACTTGAAAAAACACGCGTAGTTGCTTTGTCCTTCACTGAGCGACTGTGGCTTATCCAAGGATTTATCGATTCGCAAATAATATTACGAAATTACATTAATATTCCGTAAAAATATTGCTTATCTACTTTTTAAAACGACGATTTTTATATGAACTTTTAGCGACACGTGTAAAAAATCATCGTAGCATATAAAAAAAAAACTCTCTCGCAGGGTGACATATAATTTAAAGAAACTACTTCGATTAATCAGCAGATAAAAGAGTCAGTGAATAAAATAAAACAGCCAGCAGATTAAATATTTTAGAATTTTAATTAATTAACAATTTTTATTAATGATAATTCTTGAATTATGAAACATGATTTATCATATTTTATATCATTCTTTTCAATTAGTACATTCATAGAAATGATGTTATATCAACAGCATTATTTTAATTGAAAATAATCTTGTCAATTCAACAGTAATAAACTAACAGTAATAAAATAAAAACAAGTTTATTAAATTAAGAGCATTTATGCTTCATTAATAAATTAACAAATACTTCTTTTTAATTCAAATAATGTAGTTAACATAACATAATTTTTCAGTGTAGCATTATAAATAATTTTTTATCATTTAGTTTTTTCATTTATTATTGAGTTTTTCTAAATTAATTTAATTCTTGAATTAATTATCGGATTAATTAATTCTTGGATTAATTAACGAATTAATTCACAGATTTAAAATCTTCATAAATCGACGATTAAACATTTAAAATAATTCTGTGCTGTTTGTTTATTGTCGCTTTC